CGAAGCGCTCGCGGCAGTAGGAGGCGCTGTCGCGCACCAGGCGCTCGACGCGCGGGTCCCCGGCCAGCAGGCCCTGCGGCAGCGCGAAGCGCGGCGTGTCGGTGAGCAGCAGGAAGTGCAGCGGCGCCGGGCCCTCGCGGCGCAGCGCCAGCCCCAGCACCACCGTCTTGGAGATGATGCTGACCAGCTTGTAGCAGTGGCCCTCCCGCACCGGGTGCAGGTCGTAGGGGTTGCGCGGCGGCCGGCTGGGCACCAGCACGTTCACCGGGAGCCGCACGCGCTCGATGATGGCGCGCACCGTGTGCTCGCCCTCCTGCATCTGCAGTTCCAGCGGGCTGCGCGTGCTGAAGCGGCCCTGGCACTGGAAGGGCAGGCTCAGGCTCTCGTTGGTGCGGTGGTTCATGCAGATGAGGCAGGGCATCTTGCCTTTGATGGGCCTGGCGCCCCCGCCCGCGGCCCCCGCGCCCCCCGGGCCGCCGCCGCCCACCCCGGCCAGCGCCCCGGCCCGGCCCAGCTTGCGCAGCAGGGTGGTGAAGCGCGAGCGCTCCTTGGTGGTCTTGGCGCACAGGATCTCTGCCTGGCCCATGAGAGTGAGCTCGTCGCCCGCGTGCAGCGTGAAGTTGTACACTTCGCTGTCCTCGCTGAACTCGCCCGACACCACCTGGGGACCCCAGAAATAAGGGAGGCCTTAGCCAGGGCCCCAGAGAAAGCCAGCCCTGCGAGGCCCTCCGGACCCAGGGGGCAGCCCTCCTCTTGGGGCCTTCCCAGGGCTGAGACCAGATCAAGAGCCCTGGACTGGGGAGATCCGCGTTCCATCCTGGAGAGGCCACAGGGTGGCTGTGCAACCTTAAATGAGTTACCTTTGGGGCCTTAGTTACCTCATGGAATGACTCTTACTTGGAAGAGTTGCTGTAAGGATTAAACAGACTATAGGTACAGTGACATATTTTGAAAATATTCAATAAATGGCAACTTTTATTATCATTATCTTTACAATTTGGGCGATAATAATGCTCCACCCATTCAACGAGGCTACTGTGAAGAGAAATGAATTGATGGATTAAAAAAGGGTTTGTAAACAGTAAAGAGCTCTCTGTACCCAAGTGGGGGACTGTGCACTCTGTGTCCCCCACAACCACCACCCCTACCAGTGGACAGGCTGCCCTGAAAGGTCTCCAAGTCAGGGCAGGACCCGCCACACACTTCCTCCTGCTTCACCACCTTTTCCAGGAAGTTCTTTGGCCCGGTGGGTCATACACCCAGCTCTTCTGACATGGCCAGATTGTGCCAAAGGCCCTTGAGGAGCTGCCAGAAGCCACACTGTGACACCTTCTGCCTCCTGGACGCTAAGGGCAACACTCCAACCAGGGTCAGCGTTGCCCTCAGGGAAAGGGTATCGTGGGGGAGCCATGCTGGTGCAGGGAGGACTGACCTTGACACTGAAGGTGATGGCTTCCATCACAAAGATGCGGTCAGGGAAGACACTGGCCACCTCCTCCACACTGCTGAAGTACCTCACTGGCTCCCGCACATCCCGGGCCTGCTCCAGGAGCTTGAACTTCCCTGCACAGGAGGGAACGCAGGCTGCTAGGGCAGGCCTGCTTGCTGGGAGCCTGGCCTGCATCCCGAGAGTCCTCATGGTCCCTACCTCTTGCTACGTCATCTCAGCCAGCCCCTCTGGAACTCAGGTGAGCAGAAGAGCAGGTCTGCACTAGCATGGGGTGGAAGGGGCTGGTCAGCTGGCTCAAGTCTCCACGGGCAGGTGAGCACAGATCCCGAGCAACTGGAGCCCAGCCCTCACCCCGTGGAGAGCTTGTGGGTGCGTGAAGAGGCTAGCAGCTGCTTGCCCAGAGAAACCCAAATGCAAACTGGCATCCAAACACGTGGACACAGAACTGGCCTCTGACCAGGCATCAGTGTGGCACTGGAGGTGCTGGCTCTTAGCTTGGTCCCAGCCCCACTGTGACTTGCTGTGACCCTAGACAAGTCCCTTCCCCTCTCTGGGTCCTCATCCGAAGGGGCTGGAGCAGATGATCTTGGGCCCTGCCTGGATCTGGCATCCAATGCATCCACCTTGGGTTGCTGATCCACACTGATGCATTGGGCAGACCAGGGGCTCAGCCCCAGACCTCGGAGGCCCTGCAAGAGCCGCTCAGACCCCACTTCTGTTCCCAGACCCTGCCCTGGTCCAACATCCAGCCCTACTGTCCCAGAGGCCTCTGACCTGAGCCCAGCAAAGCTGCCGCCCTCAGACGAGGCCTTCCAAACCTGCAGTCCAGGGCTCCTCCCTCAGTTGCTGGCTCAGCAGATGTCCCCAGCAGACACAGATTTTAAAGAATGACCCCTTTTATATGGCCACCTACACGAGCATGAAAACAGGCTGTGAACCTCCCTGGCGTCTGGATGGATGGCCTCTTCTCAGGCCTTACACAGAAGGAAGAGAATCTAGTATAGGTGAGGGGACAACAGGCCAAAGAAGACAAGGGGACTCCTTAGCTTCTGGAGTCTTCCTGATGGTTGCTTCAGTCATGGTCCATTCATTCCACAAACATTTCATTATTCATTCCACAAACATTTATGGAGCCCCCACTATGTGCCAGACCCTGGACTAGACCCGACAGAGGGTACAAATCTGGGTAAAACAGTCTGCCCTCAAGGAAATCCAGATATAGGGGTGTGACAGTGAGCACCCAACAATGGCAGATGTGACAAGTGCTACAACAGACTCACAAGGAAAGAGCTAGAGAACCACTGAGTTGGGGGAAACCTGCCTGACAGTCTGAGGGGCCTTAAGAATGAAAAGAGTTTTACAGAATGGACGAGGAAAGACACAGAGCCACCAAAGCAGACTGCCTACCCGAAATGGTGAGTGCCTGCAGGGCAGGACAGGAGGAGGGTGATGACAGGGTGTAGACAGCAACTGGGTTATGAAGGCTCTGAATGGCATATGGTAGGACTTCATTTCATAAGAAATGAGACCCACTGGAGCATTCTGAGCAAGAAAATACCAAGATCCAAGTTGAACTCTATAAGATAACAGGAGACTATTCAGGTAAATAACCCAGTAACGGGTTCTGGTGAAGAGCCGGGGCAGTGACTGAGGGAAGAGCAAAAAGGAGCAGACCAAGAGGTGCACGGAAGAGAGACTCATCAGACTGGGGACTGATGAGGGGTGGGCAGGGGAGGAAGGGACTTGGGCCACCAGGCTAGTCAGAAACGGAGATGGCAGAGCTGTTAACCAAAACTGGGAACCTAGAAGGAACAGGAGCCGATCCCAGGGAGACCAAGTGGGGGGCCCCCAGGTGGTGCTCCTAGGGAGGTGAGCGTGTGGGTGCAGGGCTTGGGGATGCCTGGTCAAAAGTGACAGACTGAAGGTCACCAGGCCACAAGGGGCAGCTTTAGCTGTGGGGCAGGTAAGGTGGCTCAGGGAAAAGGAAGACTTTAACCCTTTGGGGACCCTCTTCCCAGAAAAATGTCCTAAGTGTAGTGCTAGCCATGAATACACACAACATTCTGTCCTGGAGCCCCCAAAGCCCAGCCAGAAACCCAGACTGAGACCCCCCTCGTGCAGGGTCTGAAGAGCAGAGGGCCAAGCGTAGAGCCTGCAGCATCGACATCTAGCAGCAGGAAGAAAAAGGAGAGCCAAGAATGAGGAGGGACAATGCCCAGAAGAAAGCTGAAGGAAGCCCCCCCTCCTGCCTTAACAACTCTGAGACCCTGCTGGGAAGAGGCCTCAGATGTGTGGCAGCCTGGAGGGCAGCAGGGATAAACTGGGGAGGGGGCCCAGCAACAGCAGTGGTCTGGAGATCAGCAAGCAGGAGTCGCAGGTCTGCTGCCATCAGCAATGAGTAGCCCCTTCCTTCATCCCGTCTCCTCTCCCATATCCACACACAAACCCCCCAACCACAAGCAGCCAGGCAGGGAGAAATGCCCGCTGCCCCCTGTGGGGAGAGCTGGAGCCAAGTCGGGGCTGGAGCCGGGGGAGGATGTGGCAGGGAAGATCGATGTAACCATGGCAGCAGCACCGCCCCTCCGCTGCAGCCTGGAGCCCAGCACAGGTCATTACTGCCGGAGGAAGGAAGGGAGACCTCCCGGGAGTGATGCTGAGGCCCCTGGAAGCCTCTTCCTCCTCCTGCAGCCCCTCCGGGGCAGCTTCCTCTCCTGCCTCCCCCTACGTGAGCCCGGAGGTCCTCGCGGCTCTGGGGACCTGCCCCGCCCTGGCCTCCCCTCCTCCTCCCTGTGCTTGCCTTCCAGGACGCACTCGTGCTGCCCTGACCGTGCCTTTCAGCCTGAAGCAGCCTTCTTTATCACCCCTCCTCCTAGCCCCCGACCCAGAGCGGCCGCTCCATAAAGAACGATGGGTAAAGGCACAGACGTTGAATCCCAGCTCTGCCACCAACCAGCTGTGTGACCTTGGCCAAATTATTTAATCTCTCTGGGCTTCAGTTTTCCCACCTGTAAAATGGAAGCATCCTGCTTAACTCACAAGGAAGGGCACCGCTGGGACTGAGGCCGGCTGGGCCCTCGGGCAGGGCCGCAGGGGGCGGTCTCAGAGGAGCCAGGTCTCCGGACTCCCCGGGCGTGGGCCGGGGCCTGGACACTCGGTCACAAGCGCCACCCGGCGCGGGGCGCCCCCCTCCTCCCCTCCGCGGGGGCTCTCTCCGCGGTCCGCAGCCGGCCGCCCCGCCACTCTATTATTAATTCATTAGGAGGAACCAGCGCGGAGCCGCGGCCCGGCCCCTCCCCCTCCTAGGGGGCCTCAGCCTCCCCGCCCCCACCAGGCGGGAGCCGCCCACCGGAAAGATGGAGACGGGGATGTGGCACCCCTGCAGGCCAGCTGTCACCCGTGACCGCCACCTTACACATGCGCTCAGGGGGCACCAAAAGCGAGAGCGGAAAAGGCTAGGCGCCCCCTGGACCCGAAGTTCCCGTGGAGGCTCTGTGCCTTGGTTTCTCAGACTTTTAATGACACAACTCAAATGGCACTGTCCTTGAAGTCACATTTCTGTCAGTGAGGGATTTTTCTAATCTTTGCTTTTTTAGCCCAAGAAGACGACCTGGGACCTCTCCCTGGACCATGCCAGATACTGATGCTGGAAGTTTCTAGCTTGGGCAGGCCCCCTCAGGGCTGCAGGCCCAGGACAGAACCCCAGATTGGAGAGACACTGGAGAGAATTTCCTCATCTTTTAAATGGGGTGTGGGGGCTAGGGGGTGCCAACTTCACGGGGTTGTTGTAAAGAGCAGAAGCCCTGTAAAGGGCCTCCTCCTGTCCCACTGGCTCAGGGGAGACCCAGGCAGGGCCAGATGGGGAGCAGCAGTACCTGGGAGGAAGAGACTGTGAGCCTTCCCAGCTCAAAGGGTTCCCAACACAGAACTGGACAAGCTCCTGAAGCTCCTGGAGCCTCAGTTCCCTTGTGAGTTACATGGAGTTGAGAGGACTTTCTCATGGGGCTGCCATGGGGATGAAATGATGAAAATGCTCAGCCCAAGGTCTGGAACGCTGTGGGATCCTGGGCTCGCATGGGGGCATCTCTGGGATGGGGCCACAGACTCGCATCCCCCCATACAGGGGAGAACAATTCTGCATTCCTGGTATGGCACAGCAGGCACCAGCCCAGGAGATAAGATCCCAGGGTTCTAGCCCCCACTCTGCTGCCTGCGTGACTCTGGGCAAGTCGCTTCCCTTCCTAGGCCCTCTGTTTCATCATGTGTAAAATTAAAGGGCTGTATTTTCTTCTTTTTAGCAGCAGAATCCTTTCTTTAAACAAAATCTTATGTAGGGCATCAACATCATATATAAAACAGATAAAAGTTGAAGTTCATTAGCATAATCTTATTTAAAAGTCTAAAATTTAACATTCACTTGTAAAGTCAATCAATGAAAATGATGAGTTTAACACAAAAATTGGGAAAAACAGGATTAGAGCTGACAGATGCAGCCATATAATCAGGCTGAGCATCCCTTTGTGTCTGAAGTGTTTTGATTGCAAAATACTGAGAAGATCCTGGCAGGAGATGTTCTCTTTGAGGGTCTTACAAAAAAGGGTTAATGAGGCAGCTCGTGGTCCACACCGGGGGTCTCTAGTTAGGGTTATGGTTTGATTTGTAGCAATTTGAGGGTGTGGGTATCTTTTTAATCATTAGTTTAAAATCTATTTTAAAATAAAATGTGAAACAAAGGTTTGCAACCAGAAACCCAGGGCTCACTGAACAGTATGAAAGCCACTGGGCCCTAACTCTAACCCTAACCCTAATCACTACCCCGCCAGCCATGTCGTTGTTCACCCCTGTGCCGCCAAGGAAAGGCTGGTCACCAACAGCTTCCCCCAAGACTTCCCCACCCCCACCCTCCTGCCTACACCACCCATCGGCTTTATGCCATCCGTCCCTGGCTGGGCACACCTGGGTACTGCAGGGGGATGTCGATCTTGGGCCCAATGACGTAGTGGCCCTCTTCCAGGGTGTGGGCGGTCACCGTTGTCCACTGGCGGCAGGAGTGAATGAGCAGGATGTCTCGCTCACTGACGCCCTCTGCATACTCCCCTGGGAGGGGCAAGGAGGATAGCAGAGGAAGGAAAGAACAAGAGAACATCAGGAGGAGAGACAGAATAGGCAGGGTGACCTCCTCACCTCCTCATCAAGCCCCCGCCCAGGGACAGCTCCCCATGATCCCTGCCCAGGTCAGCAATGCTCAAGGGACAGGCAGGCTGCCAGCTGTGGCCTTGGGGCTGAGTTAGGCCCCCTCTCTCTCCCAGTGGGGCCCCAGCAACCAGCCTAGCCGCTGTCCTTCATTCATCATTCAGTTGGACTGTCTGCTGTCCCAGGCCCCGTGCTGGGGCCAGGAGCTCCCAGCAGAGCAGCCCAGCTCCTGCCCTCCAGGAGCCCTTCAGCCCATGGGGAGGTGGCAAGACATGTGAACAGAGAATACAGGCCAAGTGTGAGGCACTGAGTGGAGGGTGTTGGGGCTCTCGCGGACGGAGCGGCAAACCAGCTAGGGGTGGGGTGAGGAAGAGAGATTTACTGAGCCACAGACGCTGGAGCTGGGCCTCAGAACCACTGGAAATCTCCAGCAGAATTCTCAGCCCCCAAGTCAGTGCCTAGGCCTGGCAAGGAGGGCCTTGTTGGGGGGACAGAGAGGGCCAAGGAGGGACTGTCCGTTGGGGGTCCCAGCTGGGAGGGCTGCCCTAAACCCAGGGGTCACTCAGGTCGGGAGAACGGCAGGGCTTAGAGGAGCTGACGCCCAGCTCCCTCGTGGGCAGCCTCTTCCATTTCTCCCACTGCCACAGGCAGTCTCCCGCATTCAGGGGACCTCAGAGCAGAGGGGAGAGTCTCAGATACTCCCTGACCCATCTCAGAGGAGCTGCTGCTTGGCTCTCCTTCCCTCGGCCCTTCATTCTCCCAGGCTCTGGAGCACAGTGACGATGGCTGGAGGAGGGGGGTGGATTTAGAAGGGGGGCCTAGGCCTAGGGGAAGCTGCACTGGGGCAGAGGTGTTTGGAGGGTCCTGGGCCCCAGAGGCTCCAACCCCAGCAACGGTTTCCAGGGGAGCAGGAGGGGCTGGCCCAGCTTCCAGGAGGCCAGTGGAGCCGTCTCCTGGCTGCAGCTGGTAGGCAGGGTGGGGGTGGGGGAGGCCTCCTTCCCAGCCTCAGACACAACTTACTAAATTTCTGCCACCTAGCCAAATGGGAAATGGTTTACCCTGATGGCTGCAGGCTCCATGAAGTGTATACATTTATTGGGGGGTGGGGGGAGGATGTGTTCTGGACCTGTGAGGGGGGCCTAGCTCCCACTGGGTGCTGGGGAGGGGGTCTGACTCTTCCTCCTCAACTCCTCACCCCCTGGGGCAGAGGAAGCTCTCCTACTCTGCAACCTCCTCTTAGAGCTCTCCTAAGCCCAGCCCGCCCTTCCACAGGGAGACGGGCCACAGCCACACAGGGCACCCCAACAGCCACGGGCGATGGTCACCAACAGTTGAGCCAGCACAGCCACCTGCCCACAGTGACAGGGGCTTGTCACCCCAATGACACAACTCAGTCCCATGATCCCACTAAGGGGCACCTCCCAAATGCACAGGCACACAGGGACCCTCAAGACTTCAAGACACATTTTTGATCACATATTCACACTCATGTGAACACAGCCATAGCCAGCACTATCACAGTCAGACAGCTGGGCCATCACACCACTTGCTCATTGACTCATTCATTCATTCAGTCCCTCCACAATCTTTGTTAGGCAGGATGTCCTCCCTCAAGGAGCCTGCAGCCCAGTTAAGACAATAAACTGACTATTACAACGGGTGAGCAGTAGGAGACAAGACAGGGGTGCCAGAGTGTCAAAGGAGGCCTGCCCAGAATGAGGGGCTCAGAAGGGACCCTCAGGAGGGGGTGATGCCAAAGAGGACGTGTGGGGAGCCACCAGGCACACCCTCGGGCCAGCATCCCCCAGTCACACTACACACATCCAGCCTTGCGACTGACGGAGAGTCCCGGGATCACAGGCTGACGATCCCGAGAACAAGATGTTGGGCACTCCTGCCGACGGCAGGGGCACGGACGCTCGCAGGGAGCCCGTTCGCCGGACACTCTGATGCACACTGTGCCCACTCCTCTCCTCGCCGCCGCGGGGCGGAGGAGGCGCTGCCGGGCCCCGCGGAGAAGAGAGGAGAGGAGCCTGTGGCCGCGGGCCCCATTAGCATGCAGGGAAGCGAGTGTGCCAACGCGGGCCAAACTCCTATTCTTCTCACACACAAAACCCCCGGCCTGGCTGCCAGCCGCGGCTCCTGCCCCTCCCCCAGCCAAGCAGCCCCCTTCCCCCAAAGGCACCCCTCGCTCCGGGCAGCCTCCAGGCGTCCCCTCTCGGGCCCCCATGCACGGTCCCATCAGCAGAGCAGCCCAGGCCCCTGGGCCCCAAGGCCAAGTGGGGCAAGATGTTGGAGAGGGCCAGGGGCTTGGGGGCACGCCCGCCGGAGGGATTCACTCGTTCAGGCCTCCCTCGGAGGTGGCCTGCGCGCCCCGGCACCGGACGCTGCTCCCCGGGGCGGGAAAGGAGGGTGCGAGAAGGGTCCCAAGAGGGGCTGAGCGGGGCGGGGGACCGCGGGGGTGGGAAGAGAGTCCGAGGCCCAAGGGATTCGGGAGGATCGAGGTGAGAGGCGGGAGACAAAGGGACGGAGAGGGGAGCGGCACTGGCGGGGGTCTGAGGGGCGGCGGGGACACGGGGTGCACCGACGGGGCGGGCGCGCCAGCTCGGCCGCGCTCCGGGCTCCAGCTGGGCCGGAAAACTCTGTCCGGGGCCCGGCCCCGGGTTTCTGTCCCTGTCCCCGTCCGCGGGGCCCAGGAGGAGGCGGACCCTCGGCTCGTGGGCCCCGGGTCTCCGGGGGAGGCGCGCCAGGAGCGGCGCGGGGCCCGCATCCTCCCGGCCCCGCCGGCACCTGCCGGGACAGTCCCCGACGTCCCCGCGGGCGCGGGGACCCCCAGCCGCCCTTCCCAGCACCCGCGGTACCTGGCCCGAGGCAGGCGAGCGTGGGCAGGCGGCAGCGGCTGACGATGAGGTCGAGCGGGAAGGCGCCCATGCTCCAGCGCAGGCCGGCCAGCCCGGCCGCCAGCTTCTCCATGGCATGG